TAAAGTACTCATAACAACAACAACAACAACAACAACAACAACAACAAAACCAACAGCAGCAACAACAACAACAGAAACAAACACAAAAGGACTCATAACAACAACAACAACAGAAACATCATCATCAACAACAACAACAACAACAACAACAGAAACAACAACAACAACAACAACAACAACAGAAACATCATCATCAACAACAACAACAACAACAACAACAGAAACAACAACAACAACAACAACAACAACATTAACACAAAAAAGAGGCAACACAAGCCAAATGAAAAGAAACACCCATCTACACAAAAGCAGCTTAACACAACTATAAAGCTGTTGCCCAGCACAGCCCATGCATCATTGACGGCATTACAACCGTCCCTAGCCAGCGTTCCGACCTTTCTAGGCATGTCCTGGGATTTGGGATTATGTCATTTACCAATCTCTCTCTCTCTCTCTCTCTCTCTCTCTCTCTCTCTCTCTCTCTCTCTCTCTCTCTCTCTCTCTCTCTCTCTCCCCCCCCCAACATCATGTGCACACACTTTATTTCAGTGCTTCTTTTTCAAATGTGGAAACTCCGGTCCCTCTTCTTTTTGTGTTCAATGTTTTTTGTTTTGTTTTTTTCAAATGTGGAGACCCCAACTCCAATCCTAGTATGCTGATGTGCTGCTTTTAATTTGTTTTGTTATGTTTATTATTGAATGTTCTGGTCTGAAAATTTATTCAGGAGTATTGTTTACAGGGAACTTCGTTTGCTCTGTAGAGTATGTTGGGAGAAATTCCACAAAGTCCACCCTTTTTCAGATTGTATTGATACTCAGCAGATACTGTGTAAGTGTAGTGTGTTGGCATTATAATGTCTAAAAGATACAAAACTTGGAAGATAATTGAGATCTTTGAATTCGAATATAAAGATGCTCTCTACAGATCTTCAAAATGGACATTGTTCTTTTATTAGGAATGCTTGTTGTGCATCTCAGTCTTTAAGTCCGTCCATCTTCACTCTAATCTCCTAAAAAATGCATAGAGGTCGGTTGTTAAAAAGGTAATCACAGTTACTTGGAAATGTGATAAGAACATGAGTTTGGATGAGAATATTTTATGCTATTGAAGGAATACAAGCTGATACACCATTGTTCTCTTTGTAATTTATATATTTAGAGGTGTTGCTATTTGTTCCCTTTTTTTCAACTCTAAATGTTACTCTCTTGGTGCAGCATAGATATTTTAACTATTCTTTAAGTGATCCAAATTTTGAAGGTAACTTGTGATCCTCATAAAGGTCAAGATAACCCGTAATCGTAAAAAACTGTTCAAGAATGCTTTGGGCTTCTAGAAGTTATGACCAATTATGTTCATCATTACTTGTTGTATCAGTTAGAGATGTCCACCATTTCCATGTCAGTGGAGGAACTCATAGTTGCTGTTTCACTTTATTATGATCGTTGACAGTCATTTTGGACCATGGCATTGTTATTATTGTGAAAATTTTTCTTAAAAGGTGCAAACCTCATATCTGCTACCAATAGAGGTAGCAACTGAAGGCTGCTCTTTCGATCTATCATTCATTATCAAGAATAATAGCAACTAGTGTTATTAAATTATACTGTGTCGTAATATAATTGGAAAAAAACCCCCAAGGGGTTAGTGGGAAGTGGTCGTTCGGACATGTGATTGTTTTGGACAGGTGGTTGTTACAGCAGTACTGTTGTTTTTTATTTGACTGTAGTTTATAAACTGGATGTATTGTTCCTTCTAACATAACTTTCAAAGAGAAGAGTTTGTTATAAATAAGTTGTGGGTTTAGAAAAAAGAGAGGGATAAAGAAAGCTAAAATGTATGCTTATATTCTAAGTTATAAGCTTCAAGTGTTTTAAGTCCAAGGGTAAAGTGTTCAGGCCCCTTACGCTTAAAACTATATTGGATTGGAGAGAAAATTATCTCACCTATTTGGCAGGAAAAAATTATCAGATTTCCACTCAAATTTATACCTTGAACATGTAGGGCAATTTTGAAACAACTAAGTTAATGGGGAGTTTGGCTGCTCTCCTGCACAGAACTCTTGTGTGTATGTGAGGGGGAGAGAGCTTTTTATAGGTTCTTATGTAGAGATAAATTAGAGCTCATAATTCATACCTCACTTGGAAAGCGATTTCGGTGTCAGAATCTGATATTTTCTTATAGTTTCGATTGTTATTGCAAAATGGTGGGATCAGATTTCATGCCGTTGAACGGCTTACCTGCATGATGCAAGACAAATCCTTGTAGGCCGTTGAGTTGTTTCCTTTCATTTGGTACTATTTCTTCTGGAACATATAATATCGGATACCGACTGTCAGATCTTGCTTTTCAATTACTTTACTGAATGCTTTCATAAATAAAGTGACTCTGACAGGTTTATGATTTGTAAAATCAAGAAAAATAGGTTTTTGTTTCATTACACTATTGTTACTCTGGAATTCCTGGCCTTTTGTGATAGTTGTTTTCATCTTGAATCATTTTTTCACATCTTAAATGCATTACTTTTTGTTCACCATTCCATCAGTTCTGTCTTCATGGTATTGAATTGGTTGGCAGTAAATTTTAAGTCTTAAATTTAGACAGGTAGTGAGTTACAGTAGGTGTCCGGATATATATCAGATAACTCAAGTGTTTTAGAGTAGCATTCTGAATTGGGTGTGTTTTTGTGGAATTTCTCCTTTTAAAAAAAATTGTTGCCCACTCAAATATGAATACAGTAATTCAAATTTGTTTCTTTCTTTGGCATTGTTTTGAATAAATATAGGCCTTTTCATTATTATGTAAAAAAACAAACGAACCAATATGACCAATGAACTTTGGTCCTCCAGGGCCTGAAGGGATTGCATACATTCATGGAAGAAATCAGGCTAGAATTGGCCAAGATCATTTCAATAAAATGAATGAAGAACCTCCAAATAATGGATGCCCACAGCAGTCAGCTCAAGCCCAGATGTCCGGACCAAACTATGGAGGGAGATATCAAAGTGCAGATTTCAGTGTAGGTGGAGGGACTGGTGCTGGTGAAGATGGCGGTCCTTCAACAGCCACTGGGAATAATGAATACGTGCCGTCAGGACAGCTTCAGTACCCAGGGCAAAGTCCCCTCTATCCTCAAAGCTCAAGGACATTTTATCCCAGCTCTGCTATTACTGTTAATAAGCATTCTCATTCACTTGGACCAACCCAGTCCATGACGGGCAGTTCTTCGGGACCCCCTGGGATAGCAAACCAGATGCATGGTGCTGTTGGGAGTACTTTTTCACCCCAGAGAGTGCATTCGAGCGCAAGTCACCCTTTCCCCGGGCAGCAAGCTGCAACAACTCCGACTCTAAATCACTTGCTGCAGTCCACGAATCCTGGCACTGCCCAGAAACTGTCACAGGCCTCTGGCGGCAGCATGAGTGGTCGTGACGACAGCCTTCCTGGGAGCATGCAAGTCAAAAACGAAATGTCATCATCACCTCATCCACCATATCTTGGTCACCATCAACAACAGCAAGTTTGGGGAATGAACTCCCGGGCAAGTCAGCACCATTACCTATATCAACATCAAGGACCTGGCTCTACAGGCTATCGGAGTCAGGTAAACTTTGATAATGGCTGTTCGCAAGTTTTGATGACACTGTTTACCCCTGCCTGCAACCATTGTGCTTCTGTGATGCTTTATTTCCCATGCATCTCGTTTTGTTTTATCGGAAGCAAATTACACCAATGATCTTGCATGCGTTTATTGATCTGGTCATATTGAGGACCCTTAGTCATTTCAATAGTTTATTAATTGAGACTTTTTTTGTGAGACTGAATAATTTGCATGCGTTTTGAAGTTTGTGCCACTTAAATGTGTTTTGTTCACTAACTGGTTTTGAGGTGAAGCTAAAGTGTTATTGTTATGGAGTGAAGTTGAGTTACAGTAACTTTGCACAAATTTCGTTTTTTTTCTCAGTTGAACAGGGGGCTACTTCTATTTAGATAGCTTACAGATACCTGTTTTTCGTTGTAATGTTTGTTTGTGTTGATGTTTGCATTTGCATTTTTGTAAGGAAAAGGGTATTACTTTATTTATCATAATTAATGCGCAGCGATACATTGATAACCAGCGTCGCCCTCATTACTATGGTTTATTGAAGCTAGATGTTTGAATTTGTGAATGTGGTTTTAGCTCAACTCTTTTACTCATTTAATTGAGCGTACATAGAGGTCCCTTTACAAACTGTGCCTTGCTTATCTGTTGGAACACTTCCCATTATATTTGGTTTAATGGTAACTGGTCACTGATTAAGTTTAAGTGTATTGTGTTCGTCCAGTATCCTGGAATATGACCTGTGACTCGGTTTGGGTGTAATGAAATGTTAAAAGGAGTAATATGTGAACGAATTGCCGTTTTTTCTGCTTTCTATTGTTTAGTGAGGAGTTTTCTTCCCCCCCACCCCATCTTTCTTTCTCATTTCTTCTTCTATCCTGATTGTTACCTCTTGACTCTGTTGTTGTTCTTCCTTGAGGTTAAGAAAGTTATTTGAAGAGAATCGTCCACATTGTAAGTCTAGTATGGTATTATATATTACGCTTCCACAAAAACAAGATAAATTCATCTGTTGTTCTCCTTTTCCTGCCCTTCTTGTTTTTTTGGTTCCTTCCATATTTCCATTCCTTCCATTTTACTAGAAACCTTTTCATTTTTTGCCTCCCTGGCTTACTAAGTATTTTTTCATCCGTCAGTAAGAAAGTCAGGATTGGTCAAATTTATTAGTGTGAGTCATTGATGGGTGATCTGGTGTGGTTCTCCTTTGTTGTCTCTCATCCTGATCTCTCCTTTTATTTGTACATTACGGTCTTGCAACACTTCTAGTCTTTGAAGCTGCATGACTTTTTTGTATTACAAGTGCCATAATATTGTTATTAAAACTAAAAGTAGCCTCTCTATGTATAAGAATTTTTGTTTGTGTCCTTTCTGTCGGTCTGTTTCCTTCCATGGGTAACTGGTGGGTGCTCTTGTCTTCTGTATCTTTTCTTCTACTGTGTGTCTTCTTTGACTGCTGGCGTGGTGCTGCTTGTTATGAATTAATGTTTTTGTTGTGTCATAACTAATTTGTAGTTGGTATCATTTTGGATAGCGGAATGGGTGGCTCTGGTTCAAATCCCCAACTGGGCTTTCGAACTTTGATCCTTTTGTTAAGCTGTCAAATCTGTCAACTCATTTGGTCCAGTGTCCTATCAGAGATGGACGTCAAATTTAAAGTCTGACAACATTCTTGTTTATTGCAATCTAGTCTTTGGGCTGTGGGTGGTTGGCGGGTGCTCTGGTATGGTCTGCTTCTTCTTTCCTTTCAAACTTCTATCGTCCTTATCTCCCCTTCTTTTTTTTTTGTGTTTGTTACTCTCTTGTAACACACCTAATCTTCGGGCGCTCATATGACCTTATGCAGTTACGAGCGCCGTAAAACCCTCTACTAAAACTAAACTAAGTCTTTGGGCTTGGGGGAGGGTTACAATAAAGGTGTGACAATAGGTGCCAATGCCTAGTCAGCTTTCTGTTTTTATTCCACGTGATAAGCAGATGGGGTGCAAAGAGCTGAGTTCATTCTGACTGTTACCTCATTTTTAGGGGAGACACCGTACAGAATCTCTTGAAGGACTTTGTGTATATGTTCTTGATATTCTTGGTATCACGTTAATTTCAGAGGGAGGGGGGTTATTACGATACATAGGGAAAGGTGAGAAGTATCAAGGTCTGTTCAGAGCAATTACTTTATTATTAATGGTTGTCCCTTTCGCCTCCACACTTACAAATTATACAACACCCCCCTCTCCCCCCATTATAGTGATTAAAATCACATTTATTGTATGCCGGTAAAACTGCTGAAGGAAAATGCTCTTTCCCTTTGTTGTTTGCCGTTGAAGTTAAGTCCTGTGGACAGCAACTTCTACACTGTTTTGGAGTTTTCAACTACATGTATTTGCTAATTGTACTGTCGCCTAACACAGAAAGTAGGTATCGTACAAAATTGTCTTACGAAATGATGAATAAAATATGACTATCTCTCTAATTGGCAAAAGTCAATAAACGAAATACGTCATTTGCAGTAAAATTGTATTATCGCTCTCAGTAAGCTCAGCGAGTAAATGTATATTATGTCATGCCTTTGGTGCTGGCACATCACATTACTTTATAATGCTGAATAGTTAAATGCACAAAATGTGAAATGTGTGAGTTGGCGGGTGCTCTGGTGTGGTTTGTTTCTTTTTTCCTATCAAAGATCTATTCGCCTTATCTCTCCTCCATTTTTATGTTTGTTACTCTCTTGTAACACCTCTAATCTTCTGGCGCTCATGTCATATGACCTTATGCAGTTGCGAGCGTCGTAAAACTTCTACTAAAACAAAACAAAACGTGAAGTGTACCCAATTAATTACATTTAATGGAGAAGTGGTCGTAGATGAAATAAAAAATGAAAAGACACCCCACCCACACACACGCATACACTATTATACACAAACCAGGTTATGCGTCATCTTTGTTGATTCTGGGATATTGCTTTGTATCAAGCGTTTGTTCCAGGATGTCTGTCTTGCTATTGTGTGGTGTCTTTCTCTATGTGAAACTGAATACCGTGCGTCTGTAAGTGAATGTTAGACACACAATTAAAAGACAGCGTCCATTTTTATGATTGTGTCGCTGGCATTTCAACAGATATGGTTTTATTTTTAATGTCTTGTGGTTTTCTTTCTTTCTCTCTTTGTCTCTTTTTATACTTTTATGTTGATGTTTTTCTTAAAAGTACAGAATAAAGCTTTTGAGTCCGAAGTGAGTGACAAGTCTAGGGGTGGCAGGTTTATTCATCTGACGGATTCTTCATTAATAGCCATGTTGGGTTTGAGTTTGTATTTTTAAGTATTTAGATCACATTGTTTTTCTGGCCGTGGGAGTACATGCATTTATAAGTGTATTATGGGATTTAGAAAATGATACTATTTTAAGTAGAAAGACTCAGCCGATAATCACATACGTCAGCACAAACGAGTGAACACAGCCAAAATATTGACTCAACCACTCACTGTGTAAACACGGGGCATTCCTGTAATCGTGGATTAGTGCACACCGAGACGTTATAGATTGACTTGGACCGTGGAATGTGTTGACAAGACATGCAGGGGTTGATATTTTCTCCCAAGCGTTATGAATTCGCCATGTGAGAGGGTTGGGGGGGG